ACTCAGGTTCAATTCCCAGTACCCACATGATGGCTCACAAGCCTCTGTAACTCCAGTTCCAGAGGATCTGAGGACCTCTGCAGGCACTGCACACACATGGTGCACTTACATACATGCAGGCAACACACTCATACATATAAAATAAAAATAATTTAAAAAAATTAAATCTTGAAAAACCACCTGGCTTATAATCTTTTAAGGTCATATGTGCACTTACAATTTTCACCTTTGTTTTTTTTACATGCACCATCAAGACTACAGTTTTCTAGTGAATTGTATTAGTTAATGGGCCTGAGTTAATTCCTGTTCCTTTGTTTTGTTTAATGAATCAAGAGTACCAAAGAGGTTATGGGGATTTCTTTAAAAGTTTTCCCAAAAGTCCAGCATTAAAAAAAAAAAATCAGAGAAAAAAAAATCTTGATCTTCCAATTCCAAGAACAGTATTTGGTATATAATAATTCTCAAAAATATGTTGAACAGATTTTAATATGCTGTTGATATGAAATCAATAAATTGAGAACAAGTATAGAAAACAGGATGCTATATACTGATATGCCAAGCTTTACAAGTTTAGTCATTTGGAACAGAATGCATCATTCTCCCTTGCTGACTACAGAACTCTGAGCTGACCAAAGCAGTTAAAGGCCTTCAGGATCAGCTGCGGGAACTGCACATGTAGCTCAGCTTCTGCTACTTTACTAATGAATAACAGAAAGCATTATGGAGCACTAGTTTGAGTTATTATTAAATTTCCACATGAGGCTGATACCAGAGTGTGAACAATGAGGTGGAGTGGGGGGCAATGAGGCTGAAGAGGTAAGCAGAAGTTAGATGATGCTGGGTATCATGGGAGGTGTTAAGCTTAGATTCTATCATAACGGATTTTAGACAGGAAAGTAATGTGGTCAGATTTTCACTGTAGACAAATGGTTCTGCAGCTATGTGGAAGGTGGATAGAAAGGTGAAGGGTGGGCTAAGTCTGGAGAAATGAAAGATAACTACAATAGTGGTAGCGGAGATGGAAATCCATGGAGGAGCTACTTCCTAGATGCCTTACAAAACAGAACTCATTTTTCCCCTAAATGAGCCCCATGCCAATCTTTTGTCACAAGAATGATTACATTATTCACTATGTAATTCAAATCATAAACTTTGCTTTTATTTTATCTCCTAAATTAATTTAAATACCATATTCGGTGGTTTCTAATGTCATTATCACTCAAATCCATTTGCTTTCCCCACTGCCCCTATCCTAGTCCACCATTAATTTTTGCCACAGACCAGGAGAACAACTTCGTAACTAATGTGGCACTTCCACTCCTGACCCTGGAAACACGTTCTCCACCTTGCTTCCAGAATGATCCTAGTAACACACTATCAATCATGTTACCATCTTATTCAAAAGTCTTCAATGGTTTCCCATTGTTCTATGATAAAGTCTACATTACTTAAAATCATCTCCAATTCCTGTGGGATCTGGATCCTTCCTAGCATTTCTGTTGTACCAGGCACTATGCTATGCTTTGCAACCATTATTTCATTTTTTTCTCACAGTGACAGTGTACGGCAAGAACTATCAGCATCATCCTCATTTTGCAGATGAGGAAACTGAGTCAAAAAGTGATATGGAATTTATTCACCATTGTACAGATAATAATGTATTGGAGCCAGGTCTGTTCAACTCTAGAGCAAATGCTCTTAAAATTTCATACTCTTCTTATAGTGTGTAGTTCAATTGTATTGGATCACTCTCAGTTCCCAGTTCTCAGTTAATGCTCTCTTGTCATGAGGCCTTCATAAAAATTGTTTTCTAGGTCTGGATTCCTACAACAATCTCACTGTGTGGATGATAATTATTCATTAAGACAAGTGTGATGGTGTATGCCTGTAATACTAGCACTTGGGAGGCTGAGGCAAGAGAACCTGAATGCAAGGTTGCCAGCTGGGCTACATAGCAAGACTTTGTCTCAAAATAACTAATGATTAAATCTCTGCTGAAAGGTGTTTGCCTCAAGGAAATCTTTCCTTACTGTATAAAATTAAATGTTTTGTTTACTTCTTCATGGCCTATCTCCCTTTAGCAGAATATTAAAATTGTTACCACTGCCCCTAGTTCTTAGCATGGTATTCACCATATGTTCACTAAACATTTGTGCTCAAATACATGCATGAATAAATGATGTTGGGGAGAAACTCCCTAAAATGGACATTTCATCTATCCAAACTGACAAGAGACAAAAAGGCAAATATAAATGTGTTCATCCACTGGGTATTTACTTAGCAGCTTCCAGGTTGCAGTCAGTATCTTAAGAACTTAGAGCACTTCTGGGAAAGACAGACATAGAACAATATACATGAGGTACTCAATGATGGCAGCAATAAAGTATAAAAGATGCAGAATTGAGAAGGAAGTATAAGTCTATGGGAAACCTCCACAGTATAGAACATTCCTGAATTCTTTTGCAGAATGAATGAGGCTTGAAACATATTATATGTAGTCTGTGTGTTGCACTTGTGAAAGGGGAGCGATGCATCCACTATGTAAGACAGTACTTCGCATCTCATTTCATTTCCATGGCATCTCTATTCTTATTTCCATTTTATAGATGTGAAAATCAAAGCCAAGAAAAGCCTTAGGAACTGCCCAAGGTTATGGCATTACATTAACAAAGGAGAAGAATATGAGCCTATGTCTGTCTCCAGTGCCCACTTACTTATGATTTATACTACAATTCTTTGACACAGTACTACTCCCCAGAGCTTGCTTACTTTTATTCTCAATATAATGCTTAAGAAAATTGGTTATCTAGTTTCCCATGCAGATATAAACAAGCAGCAAAAAAGGTCAAGAAGAGACGAAAATGTAGTAACAGCAAGAGAATGGACAATAAGACTAAATATTAGACACAAAAATAAAAAAGCCAGGGGACTGGAGAGATGGCTCAGTAGTTAAAAGCACTGATTGCTCTTGCAGGGGGACCCAGGTTCAAGTCCCAGGAGCCATGTGGTGACTAACAACTGTCTTTAACTCCAGTTTTAAGGGAATCTGATGCTCTCTTCTGACCTCCGTAGCCATTGCATGACAATGGGTACACTTACATACATGCAGGCAATATACCAATAGACATAAAACAGAATTTTTTTAAATTAAAAACTAATGGATTATACAGTCCCATTCAATCCACCAACAGTACTTGATATGTACAATGATGACCCTATTATTACAAAGATTACTTTAGAGGCTATACAGAAATCTATAGAGAAGGAGCTTCTTGTGCTTAAAGGGAAATTGAACAGATCTAGAAAATTAATTCCTTGTTAGTAAAATGAATTGGAATAATTGTTTCTAAAGTATTTGTAAGAAAGAATATTTCAAGATCTTAGATCTTTAAGATCTTCATTTTAGGGGCTGGAAAGATGATTCAGTGGTTAAGAACACTGGCTACTCTTGCAGAGGACCAGGTTCAAATTCCAGCACCCATTCGGTGGCTAAGGACTATCCAAAACTCCAGTTCCAAGAGATCTGACTCTCTCTTCTGGCTTCCACCCTTGGGCACTGCATGTGACAGGTGCACTTACTTACATGCAACACTCTTATATATAAAATTAACTAATTAAAAGAAATCTTTATTTTATAGATATGATTATTTTTCTTTTGTTTAATTTTAAATCCAAGTTACTAAAAAAAAAAAAAAAAACAAACAAAAAAAAACCACAACAAAATTGCCATCTCAAGGCCCGGCATGGAAGTGCATACCTTTAATCCCAGCACTTGGAGGCAGAGGCAGGAGAATGTCTATGAGTTCAAGGTCAGCCTGGTCTACACAGTGAGTTTCATGTCAGCTCTGGCTACAGGGAGACCCTGTCTCAAAAAGACCAAAAAAAAAAAAAAAAACAAAAAAACACCAACCTGCCATCTTAGTGTGTGTGTGTACCCAAGGAAATTATGAATTTGAAATTCTTCTGCCACATCACATTCAACAACACGTTGATTAATTTGTGGATTAATGAGCATATATAATCACTGAGCATTCTTTATATTTATAAACATTTCTCACCCCCAAATTCTAACAAACCTACTAATAAAAGGGGATAAATTGACTATAGACAAAATGGCAGGAAATTATATTTCTAATCTTGCTGCACTCACAATTTAAGTAGGTTTATGTGTGAAAAAAGAAAAGAAACAATTTAGGTGAACACAGAAAAAAACTGGCTAAGTAACTGAACACAGAAATATTTCTACCAAACACCTTACCTTGGTCCAGCTTTTCTTTTTTTCAGGCAAGGTCTTGCCACATAGCCATGGCTGACCCTATACTCATTAATGTAGTCCAGGCTGCTCTCAAACTCTTGGCAATATTCCTTCCTCAACCTCCCCCACTGCTGAGATTACAGGTATTTGCCGCTACACTCAGCTCTGGATCCAAGTTTTCAACTTCAACAATAACCTTCTTAACTTAGGCTGTTTATTATTATTTTCTAGTTCTTTTTTAAGGCTGCATTTAGAAAATAAAATCCTGTTGTTCAGAGCAAAAGAAAAATTTTCCACCAATTATCTTTCTTGAACACGCTGACCAGGCTACATGTAATACCATTTTTCATTTAGTCTTTAAATGTGAAACTTTCCACATAGAACATTGTAACAATGTGAAAAGTACATCAGCTACGGAGACCAAAAAAAAAAAAAAAAAAAAAAAAAAAAAAAAAAACCCACAAAAAGTTGACTTGCAATGAGCTACACCTTTCACACATTTTTTTTCGTACAGTAACGCAGTTTCTGCCTAAAACTCCAAAGAAACAATTTTTCTTTACCTATATCTGTAAACCGTTTTTAGTTGATACTGCTCAGTCTGGGCCCAGCATTCAGTATTTTCCAGAACGCCTTCATGTTGAGTGAATTCATATTGAGTTCACACAATCACCCATTGAAAGCAAAAGCAACGTAAATCACAAGTAAAATTTGACCGTATAGTTAAACTAATAATGCTCTTCCTTACCTCGACGCTCTTCAAAATAAACCCACTTTTCTCTCTTACGTCTTTAAAAGGACACCTCTTAGAGAGCATAAGCAGATGAGCAAGCAGCTTATTCAACCCATCCAAAGAAACAGCATTTGAAAACTCGTCTGAAGGACGATAAAGTGTCTCTTTGATCGAACGAAGATACTCCGTTTTTCTCAAAATGATCTGCCTAATGCTTTCCAGTGCAGTCTCTCTGGTAGTGGAATCTCTACTGCACAGTCCATCCCATCTCACTTCATTTTCTCCTTCAGCCATGACAATCGGGTTTTTTTTTTTTTTTTTTTTCAGTCTTCAGTTACCTTTCAGCATATCCTCAAAGCACTTTGTATTTTAAAAATGAAAAATATAAGAATAAGGCCAGAAAAATCGAGTCGTCACGAAAACACGCGTCTGGGTGACATTTGGATCCAGAAGTATCTTTTAAATTGACGCTTTTCAAATCGATCCACAAGACGTATCCCCCTCGCACTCTCTCCTACACGAAGGGGCGGTCTTCTGGACAGAGATTGAAAAACACAAAGTTGGAAAGTTCCAATCTTACGGCGCTGGTTTTGTTGGGCAGGGAGTCTGGGGAAGTGTCGGTGCCGCGGGGTCAGCGGATATCCTCACGTTGCGGAGCTGTCAATCCGCGCTCTCCCAGAACGCCTGCTGGCCGCCGAAGGCGCTCCAGCCTCTGGGGTTTTTGTCTGAGCGGCGGCCGGGTTCTCCGGAGCGGTCCCACCCCGCCCCTCCTCCGACCCCAGTCTCCGCCCCCCTCGGCTCCTCCTAGCGCCTCTGCCGCCGGCCCGGGTGCCGGCGGGGTGGACCGGCCAGACCCTGGCCCCTCACTGCAGGAGCCCGAGGCTCGGGAGCTGCGGGTCGGACGTGCCCACCTGTCACTGTATCAGTGATGCCGCGATGGAGGACGACGTCTCGTGCCGCCTCCGGGCCTCCTGAATACGCTGCTGCTTCTCCTAGCCTCTGTCCTCGTCCCCCGCCGCCGAGCCAGAGGGCAGCAGGCGACCCGGCAGTCGGGCGGGCGCGGGGCAGGACGGCAGAGGCGCAGGGCCCGAGGAGCAGAGCCCGCCCCTTCGCCCAGCCCCGTCGGTGGGGCTCGGCCCAGAGGGCGGGAGCTGGGAGGGGAGACGGGGGTCCTCGCCCCCAGCCCCTCCCCTGTCCCCGCCCGGCCCCGAAGGGAGCCGCCCTGGCCCCAGTGCCTGCCTCTCCGCCCAGGCCCTCGCGACCCGCGAGGCAGAGCCATTGGAAACAGCCCCGCCCTCAGGCAGATACCTCCGGACCCCAAGTCCACCGTGCGGCCAGCCATGACGGGCTGCTGCGCATGCGGGTTGCTGGCAGTGCGCATGCGCCTTCAGCTGCTCTTAGTTTGCGTCTGGAGGCGTTTTCCGTTCTCCGACGTTTGGAGTACTGGCCCGAGGAAGAGGAAGGAAAAGTAAGGAGTACACGTGTGCCGAGATGTTAATCACACGAGAAACGCACAGCAAATAAAGGGAGCAACGGTACTTCTGGTACCTGCAGTGAAGACTAGCCTAAAATACTGACAGCCAAACCCCAGGTCTCTGTAAGTGGAGAATCTTCGCGTTGACTTTTGGGAAATGTAGTTTGAGTGCTACAGACGTGGTCTGTGATAGAAACTACAACCCCCAGAGGCCACCGAGACGTTGCTAGTCGTGGCCTGCGAACCAACGGTTCTGGAGTCCGGGTTTGCCTGAGAGCGTCCCTCTGGTAAGTGTATAGCTTTAGCTGTGACTTGTTCAAAGAAGGTTTTTTTCCTTGCTCCATTTCGTCTGAAATTTTGGCGACCAAGCCCCTTTAGGGTTGCTGCCCGTCAGTCCAGGGCCAGTTTCCAGGGACCTGCGGGCAGAGAATGAGCCTGAGTGTCCAGTTCCGCGGCTGGGACCGGCAGCGGTTTCCGGGCAGCCTAAGGCCTAGCGAGCTGAGGAACAGTGCACCAGAGCTGCTGCTGCTGCTGCTTTCCTGTGGACACGTGCTGGATGGACTAGTACCTGTGTTCCTAAGTAGAGCATTTGTACTGTATTTGCCCCTCAGTCAAGTAGAATCCACAGGAGAGCTTTGAAAGCACGTCTGTTAAGTGTGAGACGCAAAACTCAGTGTTTTCGATAGGAATTTTTTTTTGTAACTTTCAGGACTAATTCTGGGACAAATCAGTTATAACTTTTACAAAACTCCTCGCATTATAGTGAAAACTGCACCTTGACTTACTGTTTCATTTTGTTTGATTTAAACCTAAATATTAAAAAATGGTATTTAAAATTTTTTTAACTTTTACAAAAACTTTGAGAATTTCATACATGCATGTAAGGTGTTTTGATCAAATCCATGCCCACTCCCTCCCTTTAGATAGGAATTCTTTACAGACCTTAAGGCCGCGGGATGAAAAGAAGCCTATTAAAACCACCCAAATGTGTTACCTTTGAACAATTATTTCTTTAAAATTATTTTTAAGTTGCTAACTTGCGAAAACTCAGGTTTGGAAGGCTTTTAAAATCAGATTCGATTTTGATGCTTTGCATTGCAGAATAGATGTATTTATAAAATACTAACTAGCATTGAATATGTACAACGATAAAAAAGAACAGTTCCATCTTGTTAGAAGAATCAGTGCTTAAACATACATGGAATACTGTTTGATATTATTGGGTTGGCTAGGAAATCTTTTCTCCCAGTCTTGAAAAGTCAAGGAAATCTTCATCACAGAAAGGTAAAGACCTAAAGAATAGCACCAAACATCGGTCAACAAATAATCCTTTGAGTGCCTACTGTATAACAGGACGTCACTGATATATTGAGGACAGTATATCATAGAGCTTGTATTCTAAGAAAAGATAATAAAATATAGAATATATAGCAAGTGAAATGACGACAGCTAACTGGGAAGGGTAATGAAGAATGCTAGGTTATGGAGAAAGGGTTCACCTTAGGGTCGAACTTACTGAATCAGTCATACTGGTTACTTGTCACCTCAGTACCATTACTAGGACAGAAGCTTGTAGAACTGACATTTTTGCCTCAAAGCTCCAGGGGGACCTAGGAATGCAAAGGACTTTTCTCTGTAGGGAAAGTCTACTCAGACAGTGGGCTGGAAGGGTATGCACTGGGTGGGCTGAGTTTTCTGTGCTACTTTGGTAGCATCTGTGTCTTTTTGTTTTCTAGAACATCACAGTCGACCTCCTGGGGCCAACATCTGCATTTTCTTTTGAGGGCAATCCTCTTACTTTTTTGCAAGTTAATTCATATGCTTTGTATTAGTTGACCCTACAACTTACTATTTATAGCAGAACTAAAGGGAGGAAGAAATTACTGAACAGTTGTAGGCTCTAAAGATTATCCAACAGTTAGCATTTTAATCATCTAGGTGGGGCTTCTTTTCATTGTAGGGATTAGGAAGGGGCGGAAGGAAAGGGCTGAGGAGGTATCAAAGGACTGATTCAGAGGAACCTGAGTTACAGAACTAATTATAAAAGGACTGTTGTGGCTGGGTGAAGTGGTGCATTTCTGTCCTCCTAGCAGGAGGTGGAGGTGAAAGCCGGACTTTGAAGTCACCTGGGCTACATACTAAGATCTTGTCTCTAAAAAACAAAACAAAAGGAAATAATTGCTACTTTTTGTCATGGGAAAATGTGCAAGATTGACCACCTAGGGTTGGGGTGCCTCTAAGACACATTGGTTGGGATATGGGGTAGAGATGAGGGGGATAGTCTAGTTCTTCGATACAGTTTGAGGTTTCACTGTAATGTTTTGATAATGGCTGTTTATTTTACCAAAGGAGGCATACTTCATGGAGTTTGGTGGATTTGAAGTTATCTGCTAGTGTGACTAAGGAGGAGCATCCAGTGAAGAGGGGAAAACCTTCAGTGTATTGTCCTAAGAGGAAAATGAAGAAAGTGATGGAGGAGGAAGGAATGATTATGTTGGATATTGCTCTATGTCGAGTGAGATGAGGATTAATTGACCACTAACTACATTTAGCAATGGAGAGATTATTAAATAAAAGTTATAAGCCATTGCTCTAGTCTTACTTAAGCTCTTGCCCTGGGCCCCCACAGATCAGACTAAAAATCAAAATGGTTACCCATGCTAAATTTCCACATATCCAGACTGAAGCTAAGGTGTTATCTGACCTGAGAGATCAGAATGAGCAGGAGAAGTTTCCCCAACTGACCACTTGGCAGGACACTGGAGTTCCCTCTGCTTTGATCCCTTCATTCTTTAATCCTTCCAAATAGCAAACTGAAGTAATCTTATGTTAACCAATCAGTTGCTTTTCTATTGTTCTATCTCTCTGCCCTTTCCTTAGGAGGAAAATAACTTTGAAATGACCAGTCTGCCTTTGTTGTTTATGTTGTCTTAGCCTTTATCTATAAAACTAACTTCTGCTTAGCCTTTTGAAATACTTACCATATTTTATGAACTGAAGTATTGCTCCATTCCAGAGTAGAAAATAAAGCTAATTTAAAGTTTTTTAATTATTAGAACTTTGTTTGACAAAGTCACAAAGAAGATGACATAAGCAGTTTTTTGGTAAAGGGTACAAAAGGCAGGTGGCCATTGTTTTTTCATGATTGGTATTGAGAACTGAAGAAAATGATTATAGATATAGACTCTGCTGTTTTCTTTGTCCCGACTATTCTAGCATGCCTTTGATTCATCTTCCTGTCTAAGCTCAAATATCACTTGCTCACCAGCAAACAAACAAATATTCTCTTACTGTATCATGTGTCTTTATTGGCTAATATGTTACAAATGCAGTTTTACAATTGCATGTTCCATAATTTGATTAACACCTGTCCCAGTAAAGTTTAACACCTAAGAGTAGCAGCAGTAGTGCCTGGTTTTGCTCATCTGATCTCTAGCTGAGTACATTGCCTGACACCTAATATAGACCCAATAATTTTTGATGATTGTTGTGGTGATGACCCAAGCCTTTAATCCCAACACTCAGGAATCAGATATAGGAGGACCAAGAGTTCAAGGTCAGCCTGATCTACTTAGCAAGACCTTGCCTGGGTGTTTTTTTTTTTTTTTTAAAAAGAGTGAATGGGGGCTGGAGAGATGGCTTAGTGGTTAAGAGCACTATCTGCTCTTGCAGAGGAACCAGGTTTGGTTCCCAGCACCCACATGGCAGCTAGCAGCCATCCATAACTCCAGTTCCAGGGGATCTAACTCCCTCTTTTGACCTCTGCAGGTACTGCATGACACAGGTACACTTACATATATGCAGGCAATACCCTCTCATACATATAAAATAAAAATAATAACTTTTTTTTTTTTTTTTTTGGTATTTTTGAGACAGGGTCTCCCTGTAGTCCCAGCTGGCCTGGAACTCACTATATGGACCAGGCCAGTATTGAACTCAGAAATCCACCTGCCTCTGCCTCCTGAGTGCTGGGATTAAAGGCATGCTAAATAATAAAAATTTTTAAAGAGTGAATAAAGTATTGAGTTAATGGAAGAAAATACATTGTCACAGAACTTTCAAAACTATTGCATGTTTTTACCAAAAAAGCTAGGTGATTAATGGATAGAAGAAAATATAATGAAAGCATTTTAAAAAACAGGCTTTTTTTTTCTTTTTTTTTTTTCACAAGAGACATTTATTTTGTTTAAGACATCTACAGAGCATCATAACCTGTCATTCAGGTCCAACCAACTTCATAAAAATACTCTGAGAACTGGTATAACCACAGATCTCATCTATAAGTTTACTTCTTTGCCCATTCTTCTCTCTCTTTTCTTTCCCTAATAACTTCTTTCAGACGTGATTTAAGGTAGAATTTATCCTCTTCATATTTTGCCCACTGTTCCTTAGGCAAGATCTGATGCCTACCGGGCAGGTTCACTGCTCTCACTGCGAAACATTATGTCCTTACAAAGGCTTTCCAGAGGCCCTCTTATCTTTTATGGTTTCTTTCATATCTTCATCCTTGTATGATCATCATCTCCCATTAAGCAGTTTATTGAACACTGAAGCATTGTAATATCATTTTAGAATACCATCCAGCCACCAACCTGATGCTTCCTGCCTGCCATTTTGACCCCAAAAAAGAGTAGTTTTTGTTTTTTTGCATATTAGGATGATTTTATTTTTTAAAATATTTTATTATTTTTATTTTATGTGTATGAGTGTATTGCCTGCATATAGGTAAGTGTACCCGTGAAATGCCCATGGAAGACAGAAGAGGCCATGGGATCCCCTGGAACTGCAGTTACTGACAGTTGTTAGCTGCCATGTGGGTGCTGGGATTCAAACCTAGGTCTTCTGTAAGAAAAACCAGTGTTCTTAACTGCTGAGCCATCTCTCCAGCCCTGGATGATTTTAACTTAAAAAAAAAAAAAAAAAAGCCCTAAAGTCTCTGGGCACTACTCTAAAATACAGTAAAAAATGATAGTTACACATCTTACTGGCATGCAATGGTTCCTTTTGTGTGAGCAAAGATTCTCCAGAAATTTTCACATGATTTTTACACTGGCATCCCCCACTTTTTTTCTCCTTGGAAACCCTTACTGAAAAGAGGACACTGAGACAGGAGTAAAGCGATGGCATGAGGTCAGACTGCAAGGAGAGATACAGGAACTGGTCCCAGAAATCTGTCATTTCTCTAAGAACACAGTTCTTAAAAGACTAAAACTATGGGACTGGAGATATGGCTCAGCAGTTAAGAGCATACACTGCTCTTCCTGAGAATCCAGGCTCAGTTCCCTGT